AGGTACCGTTGTGTGGCGGCTATACTAAGACCTAGACCTGCATAGAGATTTTTCCGTCACAGGTTGTAGTATCCATTACTAACTTCAAATACGAAATTTGACACAATTCCAGTGAGTAATGTCGCGAAAATCCTGGATATACCGAATATCTCGGGGTAGAGTTATATGGGTGCTATACCGAAACGTAAACTTATATAGACAATTCTCTTCCAGATGGTAAAGATAACTCCTTGTGTGAAAATTCAGACAATGTCATTGAAAAATGTGAACAAAATCATCAAAATACCGAATGTCGGGATGTAAAGGGGGTAAAAAAGATTTCGTGGAACTATATAGACAATTCTCTTTCCGAGGCTGAATTAGTCAGAAGGAACACCTTGCGTGGATTTTAAGCCAATTCCACTGAAAAAATGTGGCTAAAAAGATCAAAATACCCAATTTCGGGGGCACCATTGTGTGGGTGCCAAACGATATCGTGAACCGATATAGCCCACCTTCGAACTTGAGCTAACCCCGGAAAAAAGCCAGATCGGTGCAAAATGTTATCTTTCTATCTTTATTTGTTTTGACAGCAGCGTGATTAAAACAGGGACAGGGACAGAGCTAAATCATCTTCGAAAAAATTATTATTTCGATGAGACGACAGAATGACGAACTTAATATACCTTCCATACTATGTATGGTGAAGGGTATAAAAACTGAAGCTTCTATTTACAACTTCATAAAAATGGTATGTGTAGAATGATTGAATTAAAAAGTGGTGTTTATAGCTCTCATAGAATATAAAAATATTCAAAAATTTAAAAAAATACATTTTAAAAAGATACACATGATTGAAAAATGATTGACTTAAAAATGTTCAAGTTGGAAAAAGATATTTTTAAAGTTAAAAAAATATATATAAAATATTCGAATATTCAAAAAACATTGCTACAAAAATTAAATAAATACATATTTAGAAATAAATTCCTTTACAATAATACAAAAGTGAACGCGAAAGAGAAACACAATTACAAATGAGTTTCCAAATTTTTAATTTCTTAGTTAAATTTAAAAATTTGAAAAAAAAATATTTAAAATGGTGTTTTACTCTCAATTTCGTCATACAAAAAACAGGTCTTATATTGAAATAAATATTAAAAAAACTATTTAAAATTACAAAAGGAAAATAAATTCGTACTCTTTGTTTGTGGTGAATTGATTTTAAATTTAAATTAAACAAAAAGTAATTTGCATGATAAATATTTGAAATATCTATTACTTATTAATAATAATTGAAATTAACAGTTGTTGTTTGTTTTTTCAATTTAGTTATATTGTTGTGTTGGTAACTTGTGTTATAACTAATTGTTAATATTTTGTTTTTTGTGGTTTGTAATTATTTTTTTTATTTTTCTTTATATAATATTATAATACTGGTTTTAAAGGGATTATTATTATTATTATTTTTTTTAATTTTCTAAATTATTAACTTAAACTAAACTGTTGTATGCTAAATGTCATTTTTAATTATTTTTTTTTTTTGGATTTTTTGTTTGTTTTTTTAAATGTGTTGTTTTTTTATATTTTTTTGGTATAAATATATAATTTTGTTTTTTTTTTTTCGTTTAGTATTATGTTGCCTTTGGTATTTATTATTTCAATTTTCATTTTGTGAATAGTCCTCTCTCTGATCTTGTAGATCGTAATGAAGAAAATTGTTAATTTTTATGTTTTCATGTGGAACAATCATTTTTTTGTTAAATTATTATGAATACATTACAAAAATTATTTGTTTTTCTCATTGATTTTGTTTTGTTGTTATATTTTTCCATCTTTTTCTTCACTTAAAAAAATATAAATACAATTCAAACATCAATGGCTTTAAGCTAATTACATTTATAACTAAAAAACATATGTGTGATGTGACCTTTCAAACTTAAATATATATTACTAATTGTTTGTTTTTATTTGTCATGTATATAATCTATGTTTTTTTAATAATACACCCCTTGCACCGATACTAAGTTTGCTTTTGCTATAGGAAAACCCAAATGTATATATGTTTCTTTAAATTTAAACTTAAATATAAACTAATTTATTTGTTGCCTAATTAAACACCCATTTAGTTTGTTGTTGTTTTCTTTTTTTTTTTGGGAGAATTCAATTTCATTTAACTAAACTAAAATTAAAGCAGCTTCATTTGTTTCTTTTTTTTTTAAATATATTCTAAATTGCATTTCTTGTCTAGGGGGGTGTTGAAATTCAGCTACCTTTTGTCCTTTTTATAAAATCTAATTGAAACTTAAATATAATTTTAATACTTTAATGGGTTGGTTTTTTGTTTTTAGTTTCTTAGTTTTGCTCCAATAATCATAAATATCAGACTATAATAATTTGTGTTTTTAATTTGGTTTTCTTTAGAAACACAATTAAATACTGAAGACAGAAATTGAGAGATAGAGAGAGAGAGAGAGAGAGAAAGAAAATAAATTTCCTTCGTATCAAAGTGTCCATGAAATTTCTAGTTGCTTAAATTTGTTTCTGGGAAAAACTTCACAAAAATCGTAATATATCTTTGGATAAATGTGGAACCCCTTTTTGGGGGACATTCTCTGTTCTTACAAACCTAATTTAAGTTAAAATTTTAATTTTTAATATTCTCTTAAAACAGCCCTTTGTACCTCCATTTTCATAGCAAGGTTGAAAACAACCGGTTATGTTATAAATAAAACTAACCATTAATTTTAAAAATAATTCTGGATGTTGGACCAAATTATTCTTGACAGTGTTAAGTGCGGAATGGAATTTACAATTTTGAATACATTTATCTTATATACTTGATAAAAAAGCACTAAAACAAATTGTTCCTTTCAAAATTACCGGAAAACCGAATAACAAAAAATAAAAGAAACGTGTATCGGAAATTTATATCGTAAAGTTATCTACATAGAGAGGTCAATTTCATTGCAATCATCCATCAAAAGTGTATGGCTTTAAGACAATTTGTAGGGAAATTCGAAAGAGGCGCCAAATTTTTCAAGAATAAATATCAGCAGTTTTGATATTTTTTTGTGATAAATATTAAGTTTCAACATTTCCCTCGTTCAGAGACTCATAGTTAAATTTGATTTTGAACATGTCTTCCTTTGATACTTTCACCAAAAAGAGAGATTTTCACTCAAATTGAAAAGCATAAGATAAACATTGCAAAATCTGAACATATAATTTCCAGTTGTTAAATACAGAATTCGAATGCAATTTTCTCAAAAACCATTATAACTAGATTTAAAGTTTATCCCGAGACTTATGGTCAAATTTCGAGTAGAATATTTCTTCTTCCTACACTTTTTGTCTTAGGCAAAGTTTTTTAGGAGGATTTCAACTCAGATTGAAAACCTATCAACTTAACAATCAAAAATGTGATCACATAAATTCTACATGTAATATATACATTTCGAAAGTCATTTTCCCAAAAACTATTATATCTAGGTATAAAATTTATTCCGAGACTATAGTGAAATGTGGAGAACAATATTTCCTCCTTTGGTACTTTTCGTCTTAGATGAAGATTTTAAGGAGAATTTCGACTCAGATTGAAAACCTTTAAAATGAACAATCAAAAATGTGATCACATAAATTTTGCTTGTAATACATAAATTTCGAAAGTAATTTTCTCAAAAACCATTATACCTTAATATAAAGTTTATTCCGAGACTTATTTTGAAATTTAGTGTAGAATATTTTCTCCACTGGCACTTTTTGTCTTGGACAAAGTTTTTAAGGAGAATTTTTACTCAGATTGAAAACCTATAAAATTAATAATCAAAAATGTGATTACAAAAATTTTACTTGTAATACACAAATTTCGAAGGTAATTTTCTTAAAAACTAGTATGCCTATACATTTAGTTTCTTTTGAGACTTATAGTGGAATTTGGTGTAGAATATTTCCTCCTTTGACACTTTTTGACTGGGACAACGTTTCATGTTACTTTCAAGCATCTTTCTTGAAACAGGTTTTGTAGGAGACTTTCACATAAATGTATATGAAATACGATTTTAACCCTAAAATGAGCAATATTTTTAAACTTCTGGCGTTCAGTTAAATGTTAGAATTCTGATGTATTCTAGAACACATTTTACAATTTTATGGCCAATAATTTCGTGGAATATTTGGAACTGGTACTACTTAGATTAAACAGAGTTTTTAATCATTTTCGGAATATTTGGAACTGGTACTACTTAGATTAAACAGAGTTTTTAATCATTTTTCGAAAAAGCTTCAAAAAATATTCTTCGACGCACTTTTCTTCTAGCTTTAGCTTAACTTTCATAACATCATCGCTTATAGCGATTATATATTTTATCAGACCCTTGGCTGTCTTTTAAAGGGATTTCGAGTGGTCTTTGTTAAAAAAAAAACATTTGATTCCAGTTTGATTGACTCTAATAATGACATATCAGCCACATTGTTGTGGCCATCCAAAAGCTCCAATTTTCTGTTCTTCATTGGCCACTCATAATATTTAATATTGCTTTTAATGCACTAGAATTCCGTCTTTCCCTAGACCGTAGTTTTAAACGATTTCGATTTCCTAAAGGATTTGAGTCTTAATTGCTCTTTGGATACATTGAAATAAATTCTTTTATTTCAAGTGCTAAATCCAATTCTCAAGGGAACCGCAGATTTTAGTGACATATCGGTTATAGAATGAAGTTCAAAAGTCTCAAATGTTTACCCTTATTAAGTGCTAATGTCGTCGCGGTCTCTTGACTGTTGTCAAAAATTGATTTTCAGTGCAGAAATCACGTCCTAATTGGATTTTTGTTTGAAATTGGCCATTAATGAGCCACACAAACGACCGAAATCTACCAGCTTTTGGCTTTCTTAAAATTACGAAAAAGAACTGAATATTTATTAGGATTTTCTGTCAAAACGTCTTAAAAAAATATAAATACTACTACTTTACAATGTTCCAAGGGTGCTGTCTAAAAACTCCCAGAAAGAACCGAAATCTGTTTTGACTTTTATGATTAGCGTCTAATTTACAATTTCGTAAAGGTGACCTCAATTTGAGTTTTCAAGAAAAATGGATTTTTTTATAAAAAATATTCTAAACCTTCTACTCCGGGCCGCAAGCTTCCATTCCTCGTTTTTGTGAAGTTTTTCTCAAAGTCCCCTTCCAGAGTCCCCCAACGCCGTCTAACAACATTTCTCTCCACAATCTAATTTCTTCGATTCGCTACATTTACCACTATTGATGCCGGCAGCCTCATCCTCGTCGCCCTCATCACTAAGCTGAGCCTGTTCCCTGTAGGCTTGACACTGGGGACAATGCTTCTCTAGAAATTTCATGGACAAATTGAATGTATATCGGTGCCGGGTACAACGTCTTTACATTTTGTATTCCACAATTTGATTGGGATTTAGGAATTGTTCACGCTGCGATGCATCCAAGTGGGAGACGGTGCGCGACAAGGCGGAATTCGAGGAATTTACACCGCCTCCACCCGAGGCACCACCACTGCCCCCAATATTTGATGAGCCACCACTCTTGTGTTGTTTGTTATTGTTGTCATGTGGCTGGTGTTGTTGATGATGGTGATGCTGCTGCTGTTGTTGTTGCTGCTGCTGCGACTGATGCTGATAAATATCAGCCGAACTAATTACACCCACATTGACACCGGCCACAACAGGTTGTTGCTGATAGCCCGAATACTGGGGAGGATACTGATGCGTTGTTTGATGACTGGAATGATGATGATGCGACGACTGCTGCTGTTGATGCTGATGATGGGTGGCGGAGCTGCTGCTGGTACCATGATGACTGGGCGCATTGGCATACAAATGTTCGGTCGTTGGCTGTGGCTGTGTAGCTGCTGCACTGGTGGCCACCGACAAATGTGTGCGATGTGGCTGTTCCGAGTGTACAATGGTTGGGAACTGTTGTTGATGCGAATAATCAGCACTACTGCCACCGCCCAGCCGGGCATAGGAGTCATCATTGAGGCCCTCACAAATATCGCCATCGCGACGACGATGATGTGAGCTGCGTATACAGAGCTTGGTGAAGAGCCACACGCGGGCACGGTACAGTAGGAAACACAGAAAATGTACCACAAACACAAAGATGATGGCGCAAACGGTGACAATAATGGCCTTGCCTGGCTTCCTCCAGTCGAGCATGGGATAGATGGCTTTTTCATTTTTCCTGCCACACAAAAGAGAGAGGGAGAGAGACGTTATTCAAATGGTAATGGGAGATTTGATTGATTTGACGATTTGACTTACCTGTCGGTACCGCCAGCCAAAAAGTAAATGCCCGTGAATATGGCATAAGCCAGACCAATGCCAGTGGTGAAGTAGACATGACTCAGTTTAATGGGATGTCCGACAATGGCCAAATCGATAAGCATTATGACCGAATTCAAGACATGTACCATGATGTTCAAAGTGTCAATCTTGTGGACCTCTGCAAAAGACAAAAAAGGTAAGGGAAAGGGGTAAGAGTTAGTAAATGTACGTCATGGCAGGAAATGTCTCTGGCTCCTAGCCTCTCCTCCTCTAGAATAAAACACATCTACAATGTGACAATGTAATTACAAAAAAGGCTCTTTGAATTTATTCTATGGACATCTAAAGTGGCAATTAGCAGTATGTCAGGACCCACACCCAACCCACACCATACGTGTAGGCATTTGGGTGACTGTATTCATGCGTCAATTGGTGCTTTGTCTTCAAGTTCCGAGTATTTTTTATGGGTTACTACTACTGCCTTTTGTCCATGGAATGGCATAAATGTTTGATGTTGGTCATTGCCAGCACAAGATTAAGTTTTAAAAATAGTTTGTAACCCCTATCTCTCCCCATTCAAAGTAAATGACTTTTTACATTGGCTGACCGGCATGGCCATTAGAATTCTGCATAGGTTTTGAATCAAAAACACAGAAATAAAAACAATGAGATTTTAATTGGATTGGACTTTTACAGGATGATAATTGGCAAAGTGTTTTGTCTATCGGACATGGCAGGGATGCAAAACTATGATAATATTGTAATTTATATGTAAATGAAGGGGTTATTATAAATAACAAAAGGTTTGGTGTCAGGTCGGAAAAAAATGTGTACAACTTGTGCACATATCTTCGATGTCATACTTTCGACTTTTTAAGATATATGCGATTTTGAATGTTTATATATTTTAAATAAAGTAAATCATAGATTCGACCGATCTTCACTCTGAGATATTATTATTCAATCTAGTTACAGGAAAGAGTGAACTGACATCCCATATTTATATTTGGTCTGTTGTTGATAGAAATACAGAGATAAACGAAGTTTGAAGCAAATTGCTGACCTCTTACACTTATAATTAGATAAAAATTTGTCCCCTTGGAGGAGGTATCAGAAAGAGTGGGTAGGTATTCAAAATTTTGACTCTATGTGAGGGAGGCACTAGATAGAGGGGTCCGGTCTAGAAATGATGAAAATATAAGGGTTTGCAAAGTTTGTCAAAATCCGATTATTGTGTTACATATTTCGGATTTTATGATCATTTTGATTATTAAAAACTTTGATCATTTGTGTGGGATGTACCAGAAGGAATGGGGAGGAATGACAAGACCACATTTATTATACCCGATATCAGCTATATGGCTAGTTATACCCTCCGCCATATGGCTAGAGAGGGTATATATCATTTGATACGGCCAAAACGTGCCTCACTGAAATAACGGTTTTAGATCCTAGGTCTCTTTGGACTAAATCCGTTTCAGGACATTTGGAGTCGATTTAGCGATACCCGTCCGTCGGTCTGGCTGGCTGGTGTGCACGATAACTCTCGAAGGGAGTATCAGATTTGATCCCAGCTTGGTTCATCGTAATATTATTAACAAACTGAAATTGAGTTCGGAGATGGGCAATATCGGTCCACTCTTTCTGGTACGTCCCACGCAAAAGGTCGAAATTTTCAAAACAAAAAAAAAATATTTTACTGCACAGAAAGAGAAAGGATAATCTGATTTTGCCTCAAATTTGCAAATCCTAATATTTGCATCAGTGCTAGGCCAGGTGCGAAAATAGACAATATCAGTCCACTGCATGCAGTACCTCCGATTTTGTTCCAACTTTGAAAATCCTAATATTTGCATCAGTACTAGGCCAGGTGCGAAAATGGGCAACATATGGCCATGAAGTACCTCCTCCACAAAGGGTCAAAATTTTGAATAATTATAACTCTTATTAAATGCGATGTAAGAGTCCGATTGTCTTCAAATTACACACATCGCAATATTTTGATCTACCCAAGGACTGGTGTGAAGATGGGATATATCAAAAACATCCAGTTCTGGTACAACTCAATATTTTCATCAGCACAAGATATATTATAAATATGGTAGAGATCGGACCATTCCTTCTGGTACCTCCCCCACAAAGGGCCAAAGTTTTGAATAACCAAAAAATCATCAAATTCGAAATAAGCATTATGTTCCCTTCAAATTTATTATATCCCATTATTTCTACTAACGCGAGATCTTTCCAAAAACCCTATGGTACACCTATCGTGCCCTCCGTCAGTGACTATCATTCCAAATTTCATCATTTCAAATTTCAAATTTATGCAGAGTATTGGGCAAAGGAAATATCCTTTGCCCAATACACTGCATAAATTTTTTAAAACCCAGCCATAAGACACGCCTTTCAAAATTTCAAGATTCTACTTCAGATGCTTCGTCTGGGCGTTGATTCATAGTCAGTTGTTTCACTACACTTTTATGTAAATTGATTTCGGTTATGGCCCTCCGAGTCCTTCAAAATCCACGGATATAGCCCTATTAGTGCTTCAGTAAATTAAAAAAAATACTAAATAATTGAGACAATCTTAAACCGGTTACGAATCTAAAGTACCAATATTTGGTTCCTTAGGATATCTGGGGGATAAAATATCAATTGATAAAAAAACCTATCGAGATATCTACTATACATAAAAGCTTTCGGTCAGTAGGAAGCCTTTAAGAGTCTTATATGGATAGAAAGTATTTCGAAAGGCTTTTTGAAAGGGATTCGTTAGACGGAAGATATTTTAATAGTCTTTCGATCTAAAAAAATATTCAAAAAGCGGACCTTTAAAAATTTTCCACAGGCAGAATACTTGATGGACGCTCTGAGGGTAATATAATACAAAAGTTCTTATGTGGGAAGAGGACCTTCCATTAATTTGACATCCATGCACTAAATACCCCTAACTTCAGTGGATGGAAGACCTTCGGATACATACATATACATCTTATGATCCACGTGTCTAATGCAAAAATGTTTTTTTTTCAGATCTACAACAGCTCTTGCCATTTTCTGACAAAATAAGATGATTATGATCAAATCGCCTAAAATTATGCAACACTATTTCCTTCACTTTATTTCTTCTTTTAACCCTTAAATGGACAATTCTGAAGTGAATTACTTAACTCACTCACCTATAACTCCTATTTTTTTGGCATCCCACTTCCCTTTTGTGATTCTGGCACCTAATTTTATCTTAAGCCCCCAAAAATTATGCAACAAAAATTCCCCCTTAACTTACCCGGATCATGAACCAGCAACCAATAACACATCGTTATTATAAAAGCATAGACCGTCGCGCACGTATAAATTATCCAATAGAGATAATGCAACTTCGACTTTTTCGCCTGGCGCATTAACTCGAAATCCTCCCGTTCCACCATCATACCCTGCGTCACAATCATTGCCGCCAACCATGCCTGTACCGTACAAAACAACAGCCCCCAATGGGTTAGATATATCCACCATTTGGCATAGTGATTTTCGAAATGTTCATCCGTTCGACCGATGTCCAGCAGCGAACACACCAACGCTGCCAAACAAATAATGGCCGTGATCCAGCGATAGAAGAGATAAATGATCCGCACCTGGGTATTGCGCTGCCACTGACATAGATAGAAGTTGTGGCGATGCACATGCTCCGGCGTCACGTCCGGGAAACAGCCCTTCCACAATTTGCTCACCATCATTCTTTTGCGCTGGAAATAGCTGAGATTGAACGGTATGTGATGGAACTCTTCACAGCTATCGTCGTGCTGTTGCGTCAGGGGTCGTGACGAGCAGCTGGAGATGGTGGTGGCCGCCGTGATTTGGTGGTGTGTGGGTGGAGGATATTGTTGGTACGGCTGTTGGTGTTGTTGTTGTGCCTGGTAGTGTTGCTGCTGCTGTTGCTGATGGTATTCCCCTGATGCTCCCAGTTTGTGTTCCGTTTTGGCGTGGGGCGACCTCTTGTGATGATATGTTTCCGTACTATCGCTGGCGTATGGCTGATATGGCGTCTGAGGATCGTATTTCTGTTCGGCTGGCTGTTGGTGGGCGTGGTGATGATGATGCGACTGATGTTGATGGTGGCTGCCGCTGGCCGCAGTCGTTTTGTGATGATAATGCCCGGTGACAGCTGATGATGGATCTGAGGGCGTGGTTGGTGGCAGGTCGACTTGTGAATGGTATTGAGACTCGAGATGATGTGACGGCTGTGGTGTGGACGACGTTTTGTTGCTGTATTTTGGACTCCCGCCTGGAGATAAATATTTCTCGCGCTGTTGGCGAGGCGAGGACGATGTTGTCGAATGGCGTATTGGCGATAGCCGATCGATGGGCGTGAACGGCGATAGGCCAAGATCACAAGTACTCTGAAGACTGTTGGTGCGATGGCGACGACGGCCTCGACCCACAAATTCACTGTCCAAATACCGATCACAGTCGATGATCGGCGAAAAACCACGGGCCCTCTGGCGTGTGTAATAACCGGTCGCTGAATATCTACCCGACTCTCGGCGCCTACTCGGTGGTCGATAGGCGTAGGTTTCCGAACGCAACGAGGCCGGTGGCGAGGGTATGTAGTCTATGGGCCTGGAATACGTAGACAAGTAAGGTTCGGTGCTCACTTGCAAATCGTCATCTAAAGGTGGTAAGAGCGGGGGTGGTGGTGGTGGAGCTAAGGAAGCTGCTGGCGGGGTTGGTGATGCCGCTAGCTTTAGGAGACTGCTACGAGTTGTGTCTGCCGCTGATGTGGCTAGGAGGGGACCCGTATGGGCTGCTGCCGGAGAGATGCGACCAAAATAATTGCCACTACCGCCGCCTAGTGGTGCCAGACCGCTGCCACTGCCACTCTGACTAAGGACTCCTGCCGCAACGCCTCCGGGTGAGCTATAGGGGTAGTAACTCTCTCCAAAACTTAGGCTGTAATAACCGTTGTAGCTGCTGTGACCGCCTAGACCCCCGGTGGAGTGGTGTTTGTAGTAACGATAGCTACGACCCAATGGGGTATAGCCACCGCCTGCTCCGCCTGTTAGAGCACCCAGGCCACCCAGTCCTAGACCCGCAAAACCTCCCGACGATCCTCCGCCTCCTCCGAGGTAGCTACTGACACTGGAAGCGAACGGATTTGTGCTGCTGTGTTTGAAGAGATGCGGCAGATGGGGTGTTGGTGGCGGTGGAAGGGGTGGTGGTAGGGGTGGCTGCTGGAGATGATGGTTGAGTTGGGGACTTAAAAAGGGATTGTAATGGTGTTGCTGATGCTGATGTTGTTGCTGCTGCTGCTGCTGCAGTTGTTGTTGCTGATGGATGTAGTTGTAGTTGTAATTGTAGTATGTAGGTGGCGTTGTTGTATCTTCTTGCTGACAAAGTAAAGATGAACGATGGGCGGCTTGTTGCGCAATGTTGTTGATGTTGTGGAAACAATTGTTGTTGTAATTCTGGCTGTTACAGATGTTGTTGTTGCTGTTGGCCAAATTGTAGAACGACGACGACGGCGATGGCGCTTGTAAAAATTGTAATTGCGGTCTGTTGATGCCACTAATTGGCTCTGGACAAAAATAAAACTGAGCGTAATCCAATGTGATGAGAATGGTGATGGTGTCTTTGAGTTCCGGGGCCGGGCAGGATGATCAAACTATATATTGTATATAATTGGTGTAAAACAATTCACAATTAATGGAACTTGGGAGCGTAACAGGTTGGAGGATTCGCAATAAAACGATCGAGGCGTTAAGTTGTCAACTTTGATTTGCTATTTTAGTTGTTGTTGGGGGAAAATATTTTGTTTTTTTTTTGTTTTTTGGGTACCCAACACAAAGTTCTCACATAAATCAAATCTTCTATCTAAATTTTCCGTCTATATATGTAGGTAAATACTGCACAATTTGGCAATGTTGTTGAGCTCTTAGTGTAATCTGAAAAAGAAAAGAGAGATAAAGTAAATATTAGAAAGTGGAAATGTAAGGTGTTTTGGTCATAAATAATTTATCGAAATTTCCAAAATTATTAGGAATATTTTTCAATATTCTGCTTGGAAAGTTCTAAGATATTCTATATAAAGGAATCCTAAATAAAAAGAACTTTAGACAAGAAGTAATTAGCCATATGACTAAAATTAATCTCAGCCATATGGCTAGAGAGGCGAAAATGTGCCTCATCGAAATAACGGTTTTAGGCCCTATGTCTCTTTGGACCAAATTTGTTTCAGGACACTTGTAGTCGATTTAGCGATGTCCTTCCGTCCGTCAATATATCTGGCGCGCCTGGTAACTCTCAAAGGGAGTTTCCAACTTGGTACATCGTAATATTATTATTAAACTTAGATCGAGTTCGGAGATCGGCAATATCGGTCCACTCCTTCTGTTATATCCTGCACAAAAAGTCGGAATTTTACAAAAAAAAAATATTTTATTGCACAGTAAGAGAAGGGACAATCCAATTTTGCTCCAACTTTGCAAATCCTCAAAATTTTGAAATTCCATGAAGCTCATAAAACGGGAAATTAACATCCGATTCTATTCAGAATTGGCACAACTCAATATTTTTATCATCACAAGTTCTGTTATAAAGATGGTAGAGATAGGATCATTCCTTTTGGTACCTCCCCACAAAGGGTCAAAGTTTTGAATAAACCAAAACGATCATAAAATCCGAAATAAAATTCCGGTTTTCTTCAGATTTCACACATCCCATTATTTCTGCTCACATAAGATCTACTGTGAAGATGGAATATATTGGCCCACTCCTTTTTAACACTCATTAGTTTCTCTGAAAGTTATCCAAATTTAAGTTATTTTTAAAAATCTATGTTAAGGTTTCTTGGATAAAATCGTCCTCCTTGGAAAAGTATTTAAGAATCCACGTTTGAAAGAAAAAATCATTAAAACTCTACGTCGAGGCATGGCAAAATCTTGGGAAAAATACCCTCGGAAAAATTCTCAAAAATCCATGTTTGCTTCTCGGAGAAATTTTTTTCAAAAACAACTTCCAAATAACTGGAGTTCGAAAAATTCTTAAAAAATCCATGTTTATGTTTCTTAGGAAAGTCTTTAAAACACCACTTTGGGTTACCCATTAAAAAGGTTTGGAAAATGTTCTCAAATTCAGGTTTAAAAAGCCTTGAAAGGGGGCTTGGAATATTTTCCCAAACATGCACGGACAATTTTCTTCTATAGGCTGTAGTATTCATTACGAACTTCAAATACCAAATTTTAAATAATTCCGATAAAAAATGTCGCTAAAATCATGAAAATACCGAATATCGAGAAGTACCGTTATATAAGGGCTATACGAAGATATGGACCTGCATACGAAAATTTTCTCATAGGTTGTAGTAACTATTAACACATCCCAATACGAAATTTGAAATAATTCCGGTAAATAATGTCGCTTAAATCATGAAAATACCGAATATCGGGAGGTACCGTTATATGGAGGCTATACGAAAACGTGGACCGACATGGCCCATTTACGAACTTAACCAGCCTACTGTAAAGTAGGCTGGTAAAGTTTTAGCCTTCTATCTCAATTCGTTTGAAAGATAGCGTGAATGCAACTGACAGATGGACAGACAGATAAACAGACGGACATCGCTAGATCGTCTTAGAATTTTACGCTGATCCATAATATATATACTTTGTTGGGAGGAGTTACAGAATGGCGGAGGGTATAAAAATTATACAAAGCCAGATTTAAAGATACCGGAAAAATACCCTTAAAATCCACATTTAGAATCTGAAAGAGACTTGAAAGGAGGCTTGGAAAATTTTCTCAAATCCTGGATAAAAGTGATTTGAAAATTCTTTAAAATACCATATTTAGAGAGCCTTAAAAATTATACAATTCAAAATTTAGAGATGCCGGATAAAATCCTTGAAAATCCAAATTTAGAGTGGCTTGGGCAACCTCTGAAAATCTACGTTGAAGTTTCAGAAGAGTAGCTGGGAAAAATCGTTTAAAATTCCAGACCTGGAAAAATTAAAAAATTGGGATAAAATTTTATCGAAGAATATCTAGAAATCAAAGTTAAGGGTCCAAAATTCAGCTTTATAGTTCATGAGGGAGCCTTGAGAATCCTCTCAAAATCCCAGTTTTGGTTTAATTAGCCCACCTTAAGGTGGTGAAAATCGTTAAAAAAAAGATTTTAACATTTTTAGGCTTTAGAAAATATTTAAAAAAACACCTATTTTTTGGGGCGATTTTATAAATAAGCGTCCATTAGAGAGACCAACAAATATTCAATATTAGGCTCCATCAGGGCCAATTGCAATAATCTAAGTTTGGCCTGTATTAAGGAGGCTTAGAAAAATTCACGTTTTATTCCCATTGGAGTGTCTTACAAAAATCCACGTTTAGGTGCTCTTTGGGAAATTAAAAAAAAATCTACATTTAGCTTCCATTAGGCAGGCTTACAAGAATCTATGTTAAAGTTCCTTAAGGCTTAGGCTACATTAGGGAGGCTTACATAAATTCAAGTTCAGATTCCATTAAAAGTTGTCATTAATCAAGATTACAAAATTTTAAATTAAGGTTCCATAAGGGGGGGGTTCCAAGTTTATATCTAATTAAGGGGCTTTAAAAGATTCAGGTTAAGGCACCATTAGGTAGGTTTACAAAAATCCGTGTGGAAACCACGTTTAGGCTGAATTAAGGAGGCTTACGATAAACCACGTTTGGAAGCCTTTGAGGAACTTACAAAATCCATGTTTAGACTCCATTAGGAATTCCTACAAAAATCCACGCTAAGGCTCATTTTAGTGTAAGCGTCCTAAAATGAAAACCCAAAATTTGGGTTTCACATCCATTGGCAAGGCTTACAAAATGTCAATTTTAGATCTAATTAAGAGGCTTTTAAAAATCCAGTTTAAGTCCCCATTAGTGGAGTTTAAAAAAATCCGTGTGAAGACCACATTTAGGATTGATTTGGGAGGTTTACGAAAAAACACGTATGGGAGCCTTTGAGGAACTTACAAAATCCACGTGTAGACTCCATTAGGATGGCATACAAAAATCCACGCCAAGGCTCCATTTAGGACGCTTACAAAAACCAACATTTGAGTTTCACATTTATCTAATCCAATTAAGAGGCATTTAAAAATTCAGGTTAGGGCGAAATTAGTGAGGTTTACAAAAATCAGTGTGAAAACTACGTTTAGCCTGAATTAGGGAGGCTTACAAAAAACCACGTTTAGGAGCCTTTGAGGAACTTACAAAATCAACGTTTAGAATCCATTAGGAAGGCATACAAAAATCCTTCATTTAGGGCCCCATATTTGGGTTGCATTAAGGAGGTTTTCAAAAATTCACGTTTAGGCTACATTACTCCATTTAGGAAGCTTACAAGAATCCAAAGGCATGCTCGATTAAGAAGCCTTAGAAAAAAATTACGGTTTAGTTACATTAGGGGGGCTTACTAAATTACACGTTGAGTATCTTTGAGAGAGACCTACAAAACTCCACGTTTAGGATACATTAGGGAGGTTTACGGAATTGCACGTTAAGGCTCCATTTGAAAGGCTACAAAAGTTGACATTTAGGCTCTATTAGGAAGGTTTACAAAATTCACGTTAAGGCTACATTGGGGAGGCTTAAAAAAAATTACCTTAGGCTTCATTTGGCAGTTTTGGAAAAATCTATAAAAAAAATCCATTCAGGTTCCGCTAAGGAGGCTTGAAAGCATCTTAAAATCCACTAAGATTGATTTCTCTCTTTTTTAATTCGTAACATCCGCAACGAAAATTACTTAATTTTTTAATTATTATTTAATAGATTTTCAAAATTATAATTTTAATTCGTAACATCCTCATCGAAAATTACTTGATTTTTTTTATTATTTTTTTATGAATTTTCAAAATTATTATTGAATAATTTTTTTTTTAAATGAAACTATTTTGAATTTCAACTATTTCCTGGAATCTGCATATAATTACAATGAATCCCACAACACAATGTGTGTGTGTATATATGTATATAACCCAGCACTTTTAACACAATAGCGCGCGAAACTCAAAACCTCTATTGTGTGTGTAAATCACTATCATCTCCCCCTTTCGCCCCTCCCGCCCCACACATTTTTGAATACATTGTGTATTGTTTGTCTATTAAATTCTATTCAAACCTTTCAAAATAAGAACTCATAAATTTCTTAAGATTTGTATATTACAGCCATAAGTAGAAGAAGTTCGTTCGACTGCCGGGTTGTCTATCTTTCCTGAGGTAGGAGAATTGTTCTACTCAATGAATTCCTTGGTGGGTGTTTATGGCAGGTACAATGTACTTCGTGCGTGTGTGTGTAAATATCCCACCTCCTCCTCCACCCCCCGAAAATACTATTACACAAAAATACAATGACTATAACTATAGTTTTGCTGACGTCATTGGAAGCTGCTGGTAGCTGGTGGATGTGCCAGCCAGCAAATCAGGAATCTTTTGGTGTTTGTATATTGGAGGTTTGTTTGCCAGGGTATTGACGTGTTTCGTCGTCCCTCCTCAGTGTGAGTGTGTGTGTGTGTACGTACATCTCTCTGTATGTGTGTACGTGCCATTCTTTTGTATACATCTTTACTGGGGTGTCACTTTTAAGATTATGAAAAGTAATTGATAATGTTCTCGAAGCTTTTGTAGCTCA